TAAAATTGAGAGAGGAGGGAGTTAAGACCTCTGGCCAAAACCACCATCATCCTCTGCTGTGCACCTAACAGAATTTACACTCCCCTAGGATGTCACAAGGAGAAATCATGATTAAAAATATTTCCTTCATTTCCCCAGAAAAAAGGCAACCTTTAAAATTATTCACTGCATAAACAGCTAATAATTAATTTAAATGGGACAGACTAAGCAGAGAAGTGATTATGCAAGTAAATACTATAGTATACCTACTGTATTAGGATTTAAAAGAAATGTTTGAATAAACAGCCAGAATCAACCCAAAATAATGAGTGAATAATACATGAATTTCAAAAGCTACTAGGATTCAGAAGACAAATTGCTAGCAACTTTTTGGTGGTTGTACTGCATTTATCTGTAGGTCATTCATTTACTGAAATGTTTAATATGTATATTTCTCATTTTTATAAATCATTGTGAAGGTAACCTGCGGGCAAAAACCCAAAATATATACAAAAAGTGTGAATCTTTAAGTTAACGAGGCACTGCGGTGGACTACCAAGTTTCACCTGAGAAGATCCCAACCCCCCCCCCCCCTTTTTTTTTTTAAACTGTCATGTGATCAATCATGAGATAATTTGCAGGGTGGTAAAGGATGGGGCATTTTTACTGGCCTGAAGTTTGCTGGAGGAAGGTACAACAGATGACATGTTTCAAGGTCGGAGACCACTTACATTTTTTTCTATTCAATTCTCCAGGCTGTAGCTGCAATCCATGGCCCATCATGCTGTGTTATATCTATGGCCTGGCTTAGCGGTACGGCCATTCAAAGGGGGCTCCTGCATTCCGCTAATTGCCATTATCCTCAGCCCTCTGAGCATTACCCAACAACCAGCTTAGGGTGACTGATCAGATGGGGAATCACCCAAAAGTAAGCACGGTGACTAAATCAGAAGATTAACATTCATCCTTTAACTGCAGAGCGGGATATCACTAGGACGAGAATCTACCCCTTGTAATCTCACTCTCTCCTTCACACACATAAGCATAAAGATAAAACTTATCAATTCACATGACCAGTACATCTTTAGATTGTGGGTGAAAACAAGCAAATAAAATTCCCTAGAGTTGAATCTCAATCTGCGCCACCTGCTGAGCTGGTAGGGCCAACCCTACTGATTAACATCTAGTTATTAAACAATTAATAACCCTTCTACATGTCACAGTCTTGCAGCTTCTGCTAAAACTCTTCTGTGACCAACAAAAAAGTAATGAGAAAAATGCCAGAGAGAAAAACTAAATACTAATTACTAAATAATCTTTAATCTAAAAATAAACTAGACCTAGGCACAGAGCAACAGACCAAAGTTTAAGAGACAAATGCACAGTGCAGGTGTTTAATCAGCGTTAATGGGCACGTTTGGAAGAGGGTTGGGTACCAAACCGGGACTGAGGCACAGATGCGAATTAACAGCACCAGCACAGGAGGTAAACAGGTTAATTTAATCTCAACTGCTTGACAAAATGACTCATTAATACCCTCACTTCAGTGCTGCCCTCAGGAGAGACATTTAACTGCATTGGCTCATCTTTGTATTGGAATGAAAACTTCCCACAAAATAAGTACTTATGAGTTCATTTTGCGGGCATTTTGGCACACATAATAGCATTGGCATGTTAACTGGCAAGTATAAAATCGAGGACTGCTAAACATGGAATGTCCTTTATTGTTGTGAGTGAGAGAGGTCTTTATGTTATTGACAGGTATCTGATTTTCACCATATCCTCACCGTGTCAGAGGGGAGAGAAATCTTAATTAAAAATCGAAGTGGGGATAAATACAGCAAGCAGTACCATTTACACGTAACACAATTGAAGGAGATTGCATTTACATAACGTTCAAATAGGGCTTACTACAATCAGGCAAAATTAAGTGAAATGGCACACTGGGAGGTTTTTAAGTAAAACATAAGCAGTCACCCACGCATCTGCCCGAAAGGGGGGGTGGATTAGCGTGGAATTTTGTGCTATTCCACCCATCGACTAATGACATGGATGTAGGTCACCGGCGATCATCCCAAAATATTCCGCTTGTAGGGAAAAACCGTCACGGGAAGCAATACGTATCTGTACGAGGGAGATTCTGACTGTGGACATGAAAATAAGGCGAGCAAAAGTTATTCCTAAACTGGAACTTGAGCATCATTGAAAAATCAACAAGAGGATCAAAGACGGGCGACAATTAATAAACTTCAGAATCAGCTTCTGCAAAAACTGCCATCTATTGGAAAGCAAAGCTTAATATATTTTCTGGACCATATTTATATGTGTCACACGGTCGGCGCTGTCATTCAGAATGATTTACCGCGGTCATTGGGAGCAAATGTAACACGCCGGCCGCAACTAGTTATCTCTAATAAAACAACGCTGACAGCAGAGATTAAATCACAGGCGATCAGTAACAGATAGCAGCGATTTTGAAACGATAGGACGCCATACCCCCAGAATCATCATGATATAAAAGGAAAAATGAACAATGCTGTGTCCACTACAGTATCGTTTATCTTAGGGATTATATATTACTGCATCTGACAAGGATGCCGGACACTGGGCATAGTGACGATCCTGGAAAAAAATCGGCCCTTTGCTTTTAATATGTAACTCACTTAAGGATAAAAGGACTTTGATGAAAATGTAATAGCAAACGAAGGGAAAAGCTCCAGCAAAGCAGAGAATCTAAGTCACAAATATATTAAGAAACGTCTATTTGTTTGACCCCAGATACACGTAAAATATTGCAAGCTTTTCATTTCACACACCAAGTATAGGCGCTGCTATGCTGCTGCTGCATATATTATAAAAATACGTCAGATACAACCTAAGCCAAGACCTAAACAATTTTTCTGATGAATGATACGAAAGATCACAAAACATACACAACATGCTTGTTTTTTTCCTTTAAAGTAAGGACACCTGCTGTGTCCTTTAGAATCACGACTATTGATACTTTCAAACACAAAACTGAATTTTCTTGAAAATTAAACGTAACGATTTCCGCACCACGTGTTTATGCGGAATAATAAGTGACAGCAATACAGACACACCGGCTATCGCGGCAGGAAACGGGGAAATCTCCAAAGACATTTAAAAATAATGTTTAGTAACTAATGTTTAAAATGCGTTAGTCAGGGAAAGTTTATTAAGCATGATTTTAATATGATTGATATATAATGTGATTTAATTGTAGCTAAAACGTAGAATATTTTAGAAATAATCAATACCTTGGTTAACAGAATCCAAGCTATTCAACTAGCAAGCTTTAGACACAGTGTCTACCTAGACCAGAACCGAAAAGGATATGCAATCATCATTTTAAACAGCATCTTTACTTATCAGTTTACACAGGCTGCAGGTAGAGACGGGCATCATACATAGATTATTGCCCTGAGGACGGATGCCAGTAACCAGATGGCGCAAAAGCCCAGCAATGTGTTATTTGCCATTAGAAGGCTGCCTTTTGTCTGGCGTGGAAGACAGAGAATTACAATAATTTACGTGATCCCACAATAATACTGTATTTAATGGAAATTGTCGACTGGACGGCGCACAGCTCCACCCACCTGGTTGATCAGCAATTTGCAATCCGGGGGATTTCTTCACCACTTCCGCTTTCAATACGTTATTCACTTATTTACTAAACAGGTACAGTATATCTGCTTAAATACCATTTAATCTAAGAGCAACGGATTCACTGATTCGAGTCACACGAGGTTTATGCTAATTCTTCTCCATAGAGAAATACAGCAGAACAAATCACCCAGACAACATTCACAGAAAAATTGCTACCCACAATTTACGCCATCGCTTTTTCACGGAAGAAACGCATCGAAGGAGGAGTTGACTTCTTGGTGCAGCCTGGAAAGGACTTCGGGAGTTGTAGTTCAAACGGCTGCTTGTCTTCTCGACATATCAAAACCTTTAACGGCAGAAGCCTGCTGCTGCCGAAATACATCTCCCATGGAACCCCTGTCTCCGACCAGCTTTTTGCGTTATAACTGCAATAAGTGGACCATGTTTTTATTTTCTAACGGCAGCTGATAATCTTGGCTACACCAGTTAAGCACGGTCCCTTTAACATTGTGTTCCCAGCGCAAAACGCAACGGGGCAGTTATCCCTATTAGCCGTTAAAAAATAACGTCATTTTCTTCCCCAGTCAGCAAAGGGCGGCGATAGACCGGTTCTGGCCAATGAATGAGTGCATCGAGGGTCGTGGGCGGTGTATGTCCGTCCGTCAGATTGAGAAGGAGAGCAACACAGAGAAAGAGTCAGGCAGAGCCAGCGAGAGCGTTGGATCCGCATCCCGACGGCGACCCGGAGGTTTACAAAATAATAAAATAAAATAATTACAACCATTATAAAAAAACACACACGTTATTTATTGATGAACCATCTGCGCTGTTCTTTGATGATCTTATGGAGGAGTAATTTATTGCATCAACTCAAAAAAAAGTAAAATCCACAACTCATCCAGCTGGCTAACCAGCAAGTTGTAGCAGGTAGGACATTTAATAATTCAACAGTCAAATTGCCTAAATCAAAAGAGAGGGGACATTTGCTGATCGGTATCGATCTGTTTGGTCAGCCAGTTATATTTCCGAAGCGAAGTGGAGTGGGTTACGGGCTAGGAAGGTGAGTTTTTGGACTTCGAAGAGAATGCCAAAAGGAGCCATATAACCTCTCATACAGACGTGTGGATAGGAAGGTAATTCCTGTGAAAATTGCAAAACTGTATTTATCAGCTGTAAGTTACAATGTATCCATCGGCACCTATCGCTCCGTAACAGGCGTAGTCCGAAAAAATGGCACTTTGCATCAAATATCTTCTTGGGGGAGAAAAGAGCCGATTGCCTTCGGTTAGGGCGAAAGGAGCCATACGGCGAATCGTCTTGGATTTGTGGCGATGCGTGTTGTATTTTGAGGAAGCCGCGGGTTGTTTTCGCTATGGAAATCGCTTTGTGCTTACAGAATTATCAGTGTAGCGCTTCCCACAGCCCGTTCCTGTGTGTCGCTGGCACACTGGCGATCATCCTGCTTTCCTGTGTTTGCCAGCTACCTATATGTCACGCAAATTGCACATTTTTAAAACATTACTCCTTCGCTCTCATCATCTTTGGCGATTAAAATCGTTTGTGCTCGGACTTTATTAGGAAAACAAAGCTGGGGTCGGCTTGCTGAAATGAGTAGTTACAGCTGGCTGATGTTGAACTATCAATAAAAGAGGAGTTGGCTAGTTGCAATATTTATTTTTTACGTTCGCATGATTCGGTTTCTTTGTGAAAGGCAGCTGGAATTTCAAGAAAATTTATTATTTTTAAAAGACGTTTCATGCTGTATCTTGAAAATTACAGTAGAGGATGGCTTAAACAAAACGCAGTGACATTGCCTAGGTATAGGTGGCTGGCTCGTTAAATTCAGAAAAATGTTGTTTCTTCTCCCGCATAGCACAACACCTTCCAACGAATGAACCGTATGTCACTTTTTGCCAGTTTTCAGGTCTTTTTTTCTTGGAAATATATCACATATTTGGGGTTGCTACGAAGCCGACTCAGTTTAACCAGCTGTCTAGTTGTAGTCAGCAGTTTGCGACCGAAAACAGATAAAAAAAAAAAAAACCGCGTCCCTAATTTATAAATACGGAGCTCTTATTTTAACATCTGGCTGACCGCACTGTATACTTGCGGGGGGAGGGGGGGTGGAAGTTGGTATCCAGAGGTTTCGGACACACAAATGTCATTATTTGTTGGCTTTGATTCCGTGCAAGTGCGATTCCTCGAATTTCTCACGTCGCAGTCCGGTTATGACAGGGTCTGCTCGCCAGCCAGCGATGCAAAGCTTTCTGAATATATATATATATATATATATATATATATATATATATTTGTGAGTATTACGACCAGTAGGTGCGAAAACCCGAATAAAAGGCAGCCCTATACCGAGGGGTCAGGGAGTGCATGTGGCCGACTTTGTGATCTTTGCGGATTTTGCACAGTGCCTGTCTCGTCCACTGGACTGTTTCTGCCGCACGGCACAGAAATGGCGTCATGCACTCGGCTTCGGGACTGACTGCGATCGGGCACCGCGCAGACCTTCAAGGGGACACGGCGCTGTTTATTCACTGCTCCGTGCCTTTCGATCTAAATATATTCTTTTAAAGCATACTTATAACATGTCCGTTCGTGATGCTTTTATGCAGTGTTATCTTTGTTTTAGAGATCCGGTATATTTCTTTTGTTCTTTTAGATGTGGAATTTCTAAGCTGTTGATGTTGAATTAAAAGACCGTCTTTTTTCCCTTCGTAGTGTTGCTTAATTCGCTGTTTTTAACAAGATCGCAGATCAGACGTGTTCCTGGAGATCAGCGTCGGTTGATTTGACTGGTGCTGAAGCCAAAGGCGTTCCCTGACCGTGACTTCTTGTACTTTCATCAATCCGTGTGCGTCTCACCATCGTGAACTGATGATGCTTTGTGAAGTTTACGATGTTAGTCAGCACACGCTCCATTCAAAATAAATGCCTACAGGTCATTAGTAATGTAAAGTCGTTAATTTTTCAAAGTGGTTACAATGTCGCGGAACGTATTTTGTAAGTTTAAATAACTTATTCCGTCATGGATTGTCCCCAAAGAAAATTAATTGAAGAGTACAGCGTATAAAGTTTCATTTTACATTTGTATTATTTAATTGAAAACAGTGCCAACAATTTAGTAACGATTTGGGCACTTACCTGTTCATTAATTCACCTCTTTATGTAGTCTAACATGTAACCCGTAGTCTTTATCTTGTGGGCAGGTATGCGAGGAAATGCAAAGTATTTGTGTACATGTAGGCTGCTCTTTTCAACATTAATGACCATTAGTTAAATTAGTCACCATATAAAACGTGTCGTTGGTCCATAATTTTGTATATGTTACTTTGTTTTTGTTTTTAAAGAAAACTTTTTCAGTTACAGGCTCGACACCTGGATCCCTCAATACAAGCTGAGGAGTCCTGAGTGAAAATGAAGGTACGTTTGTTTTTCCTGTCTGATTTTTGCCAAAAAACACATTAGTGTCATTCTGCTTTTCTGTAAAGTTTTTATGACATATGACAGATACTATTTGGGTAATAGACTGTTTATTATTTGAGACATGTCCTTTTTTGTGTTCAAAGTAATTTTGACTCTAAACATCGTGGACATATGGTACACCATCCTTAGAGAATTTTGAACTTTGATTGATTTGTCTGGTATTGTGCATAAATATTTTATATTCTTTGACCATTAGCCAGGTAATGATGAATGTCGTGTGTTTCATAATATTGTATGATGTTCAATTGGTTCATTTCTCCTCTGTCCTCGGTGGCGTTTCTTATTGGCACTCGAACATTACAAGCGCAAAGTTTGCGCACGAGGCCCTTATCCTTGTTTATGTTTCTCAGCTCTATAACTTTTGTCTTCGGAATGTGACGGAATAATTGACGGCGGCAGGCCGTGCTTCAGTTTCCATGGTAACTGGCTACCGGGTTACTGCCTACAGGATTTGTCCTATTGGCCTTTGGACTCGCATGAAAGGCGAAGACTAGAATGGGAAAGTCTTTTTATTTATTTTTTTATGATTATTTTTTTTATCTCAGGCGGCAGCCTGTAGCTTGACGTCTTGTCGATTAATGCTTCCCGATATAGCGAATGCGTGTGACTTTGATTAATGTTCCTGCTTGACACCTGACTTTTTCCGCAGTAGAACTGGTTTGGCTTGCAGACTCGGTTCCGGGAAGTTTCGGCTGTATGATCCAAAGAATTTGTTTGGATCGGGGTGCCCCCGGCAGCGAATAAATGAATGGGACGTATCAGGAAGTAACCATTTGTTTTAAGATAAACTGCGGTTCCATTTTTAAATGTCAGTAATCTTGAGCTTGCACGATTAATGTGATCCCATAATTTATACAGGGTTCTATTGTTCAGGCGTACCATACCGCTGGAATTTTTCCCGGCATTTCTTTCAAAAAAAGTGCGTGTTATCAGGATTGACAGGGACATGTCATGTCTCTCCAGTGAAGGAAGCGCCCATATTCTCTCTGTTCGTCTCCTTCGGCAGGGCAGACCCGGGAAATGAGTGATCTTTTTCCCCGGGGTACCCACCGATTGAATTATTGCCAGCGAATCTTTTCTTTCTTGTCTGGCTTTTGCGTTTGCCTGTTGGATGGAGGTCCTACAGCGCTAGTTTTCTTTATTTTATTAATTTTTATCATAATATTTTTTTTACTTTGATGTCCTGCAGTTTAGCGGGTTTAAGATCTCTAAGCAACTCATTAAGCCTTGGTAGAAGGTCAGAAATGCCCCTCTGCTGCTGACTGACGAGGTCTACAGACGTTATGGATATTAGTTGTGCTGAGTTTCATGTATCAGCAGTTGAGTTGTAGTGCATAACCAAGTTTCACACAGGATCCTCCTTTAAAGGAATTGGTAGAGTTTGTATGAAACTATGAACTGCCAGGGTCAACATCTGAACACTCTCAAGACCCAAATAATTAAGTCTAATGCCGGTTGATGCCTATGTGGAGCCAAAGGCAAACTTCACTGACCAATTCTCACTCTGGGGGGTACTTTTTCTTGCAGCTTGCTAAGTCAGTGCCCCCTCAGAAGTCGCCTAATGGGTTGAACGGCACTGGTTCTGTCCGTCGCTTTAGGAACTTGTAATTGGCTGTGGTAGGGGGCTGGGGAGATGGACAGCTTCATAAAAGCCACCCTTTGGTCAATGGCGATCAGTCCTGGTCCTGGAGGTGTCCTGCATGTGCCCTTTTTGTTCAGCTGCACTCTTAAATAAAGAGCTGTGATTGGGTGCTGATTGAATGCCGATTTGACCCTTTCACATATTTTCTGAATGCGGCTTAAGAAAGCTGGCAAATGTGGAATGGCCATTGGCTCATTCGGATATTCAACAGCTAAGTGCTAGCAGAAGTAAATTCACCGTTGTCTCGATCATTTTGACATGCTGTGCCTTTACTTTCAATAAAAGTTCTTTACAGCACTACTCCCCACCTCATAAATGAGCATATTCTTTGTTGTCTAAATTGGTCTCTAACTAGTTTCCGTCTGTGGTTTGTGGTCTGTGCTAACGCTGAAAGAGCCCTTTGGGACAGATGAAGTGTCATGGTTTGAGATTTTTGTTTGTCTTGCCCCCAAAAATAGAGATGGTGCTACTATCTTACCCTTGCATTTTTTGTTTACTCTAGCCAGGGATCATTGTCTTTGCTGTAATGCAGTGATACCCTTTGTAGACTGGGCTGGCAAGACTTATACACATTATTTTGCAGCAAGGTTTAACTAGCTTTGTTTGTGTTCTGAACAAATATGATTGAAAACATTTGTTTGGCCTTTAAAATAAAAATAAAGTGCCTAATGTGATTTTTTTCAATTATGCAGTGGTTAATGTGCTTCGGGAAAAAATGTCATGGAAGGATTGATTGTTCCTAATTAAGATAAGTGATTTGCCCTGTTGTATGAGGTGTGCAGCTCTAGTTGTGCTAACCCAGCTTGTCTTGAAGTATGTCTGCTGTATAACTTAACGTCATTGCAGACTTTACAAAAAGTTTAGAACCATTTTGTGGGAGTCCTGCTTGATATCTATGGGAGTAAATTAATGACAAAAGTCGTTGATGCAAAAAGCATGTTGTATTAAACTAATCAAATAAAAAAACGCATTGCACTTAATAATGCTTGAATTTTAGGAGGCTATAATTTCATGTGAATGTACATTTAGACATTGAATATTCCAAATGAAAATATTTCAATTGTAATTGTTAAAATAATCAATACAAAAATATTTGGCTTTCAAAATTCAGTTCCAAAATATACAGATTATAAAGTGCATTTTTATAATTCAGGTCACCTGAATTCAGTTCATTTACTTTCGCCTCAAAATAAATTTTAAGGCAATAGATGGACACATTCAATGTGTTTTAATGGCAACTTCATAATTCAGAGGTAATATTCAGTCCTTGATTTTTTTGCTTCACAAATACACTACCAAAATTTTAGTGTTTATAATATGGTCCGAATTTCAAACTTCTACATCTGGGACTGTCAGGATGAGCAATGGAGTGCTGATAGAGTTCTCCTCTGGATCTGGAATCATCAGTGGAGCCTGCACAAGTTATGATGCACCGATTGACAAAACATATTTTCTCGGATGGTGGATACAGCTGTCCCAAAATCGGCTATTGTCCCATCCATACTATCTAGCAAGCTAGCTTACAAGCTAGAAATCTTAGGAGCTGCCCACTGGTAGTTAAGGTGAGCAAGGTAAGTTTTATGTAGAGATATGTGATAAATCGTTATCAGTTGATATTCATTAAAAATCAATGTCTATTTTAGCCGATATTGCTGGCCTATAATTAAACTTTGTAGATATTAAAAGTGAACAGCACCATAGTGTTAGATATGGGTTACGTGTAGGCAGTTGGGAAGAGTGGAGAAATAAGATTTAGTTGTGTTTTATTTTTTTCCTTCTTTGTCGTGGGTTGTGATGTGTGCGCTGTGGTGTGCAGTGTGTTTTTGGTTCTCTGTGCTTTCGTATTAATTCTGCTAATTAGTTCTACCTGTTACCTATTGTCGGACAACCTATTAATTTATTTCAGTGGATGATAAGATGGAAAAGAGAGCGTTGGAGCGCAGGGGTTTTTCCGTTTGGTTGTGTTGGGTTTCATTTTTCTCCCGTTTGGTTGGAGACGGACAGAGTCGTGCGCAGCAATTGACCTGCACTAGAACCGGACGCTTTTAATCAGATGCCGAAACTGGTGCACTTTTTATGCATTTCTAAAGAAAGGGTTTTACTTGGTATTTTCCATATGTGAGTAACAAGACGAAGGTGTGTGTGTGTGTGTTGTTTGTTTTACTCTTTCACTGCCTGCCCCTTAAGCTTCTTACGGGTGGGATGTGAAGAGGATTCGTTAGGCTGGGCTGGTTTGCGAAGAACTTGAGAAAGACTGAAAGACTGCTGCTGACAATCGCCTCTATTAATGGGACATATTGAGATTTCTTTTGGTGTGTTTTATCATGGGTCCATGTGATTAGTGGTGTTTATTTTAAAATAATTTCTGTTACGTACGTGGCAGCATTGTGGGTTTTTGGGTGTACTATACATTGTGGTTTGTAAGCTAACCCGCTAAATGTTTTTGTGTTGGAGATTGAATGAATTAGTTTTAAGTGACATTGGATCTGTGGTCCATAGCTGGGAATGTCCCCAGTGATAAACTTTGCTGGTTGTGTGATCTGAAAATATGTGAAAAATCAAATCCCGTAGGCCTATTGGTTCAAAACAGAACGTAACAAATTGTTTTACAATATGAGAAGATCCGGTGAAACATGTGACAGTTTTATACGACTGGCTACATTTTTAAAAAATGTATTAAATCTGGCCAGCAGACGGATCTTTCGTTTTCCACAGATTGAAGAGTGATGTCACATCATTCCATTATTCTGCGCCAGCAAGTCTTATAACTATCTAGGCAGAAAGATAGGACAGTAGCCGACTTGGGGACAGTCATGCCCGCGATGACACAACCAAAGAAAATCTACCATTCTGTCAATTGGTGCAGCATAATTTGCCTCCTGCTTGCTGTTGACTCCAGATCTAGACAAGAACTTTATCAGCACTCAACTGCTCATCCTGCTAGTCCCGGATGTAGAAGGTTGATTTTTCAGATCATATTTTAAACTAATGAAATTTTGGCAGCATATTTGTAAAGCGAAAATAAGAGGACTGAATGTTACTCTGAATTATGAAGTTGCCATTAAAACACATTGAATGTTTCCAACTGAAATTATTCTCTTGAAATTGATTTTTTAGGCGAAAGCAAATGAACTGAATTCAGTTGATTAAATTATACAAATGCACTTTATAAACTGTATATTTTGGAACTGAATTGTGTAAACTGAGTATTTTTGTATTGATTATTTTACCAATTAATTTACAATTGAAATATTTTATGCTAAAATGTTCAAAATGTACATTCACATTAAATTAC